AGAGCCCACTTTGTGCCTGGGTTAGAGACATGATATCAGAGCCCGACCAACTTTGTGTCTGGGTTAGAGACATGATATCAGAGCCCACTTTGTGTCTGGGTTAGAGACATGGTATCAGAGCCCACTTTGAGTCACTTCATGTCCCTCGTTCCTATGCTTTTTCTGCTTCTGCCACCGATAATAAGTCTAGTTTCCAGTGGCATCTTCGTCTTGGGCATGCGTCTTCGAATAAAGTTCGTTCTTTATATAATAAGGGTCTTTTGGGTTCAGGTCATTTTGAGTCTTTTAGTTGTCTTCATTGCAAACTTGGGAAACAACCGGCTCTTTATTTTTCTGATAGTTTGTCAACTGCAGATAAACCCTTTGGTTTGGTACATTCTGATATTTGGGGTCCTTCTCCTGTTGCTTCTCTGAGTGGTTTTCGGTATTTTGTTATTTTTGTTGATGATTTTTCTCGTTTTACCTGGATCTATTTTCTCAAAAATCGTTCTGAGTTGTCCAGCATATATGTTCAATTTGCTAAAATGATTCTTACACAATTTTCTTGTCCTATAAAGGTCTTGCGTACTGACAATGCTCTTGAGTACAAAGATTCTACTTTTTTGAAATTTATTTCTGATCAGGGCACCTTAGTTCAACGTTCGTGTCCATATACTTCCCAACAAAATGGACGAGCTGAACGTAAGCACCGTCACATTCTTGATACTGTTCGTGCTCTTCTTCTTTCTGCTTAGTGTCCTGATCGTTTTTGGGGTGAGGCAGCCTTGACTGCTGTTTATACTATCAATCCGTTACCCTCATCAGTCATTAGGGATGTCAGTCCTTTTGAGAGGTTGTACGGTCAGTCTCCTGATTATACTCAGTTACGTCCTTTTGGTTGTGCTTGCTTTGTTATCCTTCCGTCCCATGAGCGGACCAAATTAGAACCCCGAGCTCATCTGTGTTGTTTTTTGGGTTATGGGGTAGAACACAAAGGATTTAGGTGTTGGGATCCGATTTCTAATAGGTTGCGTATCTCGCGTCATGTTACCTTTTGGGAGCATACTACTTTTTCCTCCTTGTCTAAGTTCCACATTCCGTTTGATTCGGCGTCTCCTTTATTCATGTCTATTACTTCAGATCTTTTTCCAGATACAGGTTCTGACTCTCAGCTCATTGACACGCCTGTCATGCCTCCGTCTTCTGAAGTGGCTCCACATGTGCATCCTGAACCGACGGTTCGTAATGAGCCCTCTTCTGGTTCTGTACTCTTGCCAGCTATTGATCAGCGACGGTCGACTCGTGTAAGTCGTCCCCCTTCTCACTTACTTGATTATCATTGTTATTCGGCCATATTATCTCATCATGAGCCTAGGTCTTTTCGTGAGGCGAGTATTGATCCATTGTGGCAACAAGCTATGGCTGAGGAATTGCAGGCCTTAGACAAGACTCATACTTGGGATCTAGTTGATCTACCTGCTGGCAAGAAACCCATCGGATGCAAATGGGTTTACAAGATCAAAACAAATTCAGATGGGTCTATTGAGCGCTACAAAGCTCGTCTTGTTGCTAAGGGGTACTCACAGGAGTATGGCATAGATTATGAAGAGACATTTGCACCGGTTGCTCGTCTTACAACTGTACGTTGTTTACTTGCAGTTGCTGCAGTTCGTCGATGGTCTCTTTTACAGTTAGATGTTAAGAATGCCTTCTTGCACGGTGCATTATCTGAGGAGGTTTACATGACTCCTCCTCCTGGGTTCTTGTCCTCTGGGAAGGTTTGTCGTCTGCGCCGAGCTTTGTATGGCTTGAAACAAGCGCCTCGTGCCTGGTACGTCACGTTCAGTTCTGCATTGTTTCAGTTTGGTTTCACTACGAGTGATCACGATTCTGCCCTATTTCTTCGGCGCTCTTCATGTGCGATCATTGTTTTGTTGCTCTATGTTGATGATATGATCATCACGGGGGATGATGTTTCGGGTATTTCCGACTTACAGGATTATCTTCGACAGCATTTTGAGATGAAGAGTTTGGGTCGTCTTCGCTATTTTCCGGGTCTTGAGATTTATGATTCCTCTGATGGCTTCTATTTGTCTCAAGCCAAGTATGCCTCTGATCTTCTTGCTCGGGTCGGTCTCACTGATTGCCAGACAGCTTCCACACCTCTTGATTATGATATTCGTCTTACTCCATTGGATGGTTCTCTTCTTGAGGATCCTACGTTATATCGCCAGCTCGTTGGGAGTTTGATATATTTGACTGTCACTCGGCCTGATATAGCTCATGCTGTTCATATTGTGAGTCAGTTATGGCTGCTCCGAGAACCACGCATCATTCTGCTGTGTTGCACATCCTTCGCTATGTGAAGGGCACCTTATTGCATGGTTTACATTTCTCGGTCAGTTCTTCCTTGTCCCTTAGCGGCTACTCTGATGTAGATTGGGCTGGAGATCCTACCGATCGTCGCTCCACTACCGGGTATTGCTTCTTATTAGGTGATTCACTTGTCTCTTGGCGCAGTAAGAAGCAAACCTTGGTTTCCCGTTCGAGTGCCGAGTCTGAGTATCGTGCTCTTGCTGATTCCACCGCAGAGCTATTATGGTTGCATCGATTACTTGCTGATCTTGGTGTCCCTCAGTCATCCTCTACTGCTCTTCATTGTGATAGCCAGAGCGCTGTCAAGATGTCTCATAATGATACGTTTCATGAGCGTACCAAACATATTGAGATTGATTGTCATTTTATTCGCCAGCATGTTACCCATGGGACTGTACGACTTGTTTCTGTCTCCTCTTCGGATCAGATAGCGGATGTCTTCACGAAGTCTCTCCTTCCCGGTCGCTTTTGTTTACTTCTTAGCAAACTCAAGTTGATATCTACTATACCACCTTGAGCTTGAGGGGGGGTGTTAGAATATATTTTGTATATATGGTTATAATATATTTTGTATATATATTGTAGGATTAGATTTAGGCTCATTATGTTCCTATATATATGTGTACATGTCCTTTGAATAATATAGAATATATTTTTCCCAAATTCTAACATATATATATAAGCCACATTGATATAGGATATTACACCCACAAGGGTAAATCAGTCTGCTAAACCGGTCGAAGGGGTTGTACTGCGAGGAAGCCGGACTAATCTAGTGGTATCAAGCAAGATGATGATGGTCGAACACCTTGAAGATAAAGACGTGGAAGACGCTAGGGCGAGCAGTGTACCACGAGCAGTCGAAGGATCGACTAGTCGAGTAGTCGAGTCGACCTCAATAGATCGACCACTTTAGGGACTGTCAATATTCCGGAGATCGACCTAATCAAAGGCGCATGTAAGAGCCACTAACGGAATTTCAGAGAAATATTCAGAGGAATAAATTATCCCATGTGCAGAGGACATGTGGCGAGAATGCATTGATTGATAACGATAACCACCTCTGACGCCACCTCTGACATGTGCGCGGCGTGTCAGAGTACGGACAGGCAGTTGGGGCAGCCAGCTCATCAAATCCGGGCAACCTTTAGGTCAGTTATTTTACCTCTATTTAAAGAGGGGTGGGCTTTTCTTCTTAGACACGATTTCCAGTATTCTACTCAAAGATATACACACTTACTTAAGCATTAGAGACTCTTCACCGAAAAAACCCCCCGTTGTGAGAGTTGTTTGCAGGCTTCCGGCGTTCCACCGACAAGAAAAAGAAGCGATCTATTTCAAACCGGTCAAGACGCTCACACTTGCATTACACATCAAGTTAGAATTATTTATAAAATGAATCACGATTCACACCACTATTTGTCCAATCTTAGTAGTACAAAACAATACAAACAAATCATATACTTTACATGATAAAATGCATATGAACCATGGATTTTACTATCTTAACATGTTAGTATTATATAATCAAGATTCAAATTAACACAATATTATGCCCAAGGTTGAAGATTATATTACCTTAAAAGTGGGCAAGTTGATTGGAATGACTAAAACAAGGCCGATTGGATCCAAAACCACACAAGTGTGATTGTGTGGTGTCCCCAACTGGGCTTGGCCCACTTTCACATGTACAGATAGCTAAATAGCTTGTGGACACAACCCATGTTTTGGAGTCCACGTCATTTTTGGACAGCCAATCTGTATTAAGCTTTATGCATAACAAAATAAGCCATAGCTTTAGAAAAAAAAA